TTGCACCATTTCTGACCTCTGCTTTGAATCAAGATCAGCTAGCAGGAACGGTGTTGATCAACATTAGGGTTGATGGACGTATCAGATGGAAAGTTGGCACTTTCATTTCTGGGAGATACCACTTGCATGTAAATTGCCCTGCTTATATAAGTTTTGGTAACAAAAACAGTGGCATTGCTGTTGGATCAGCTATTAAGTATCAACTGGTGATGGACTGCCATGTTAATGTTTGATAAAATTGGTTGGAGAGTCGCTCGGTGGAATAGGCATAAACTACTTGCATGAGGACGGAAAGACCGCGTGAAGCTTCACGGTTCGCTTATCGGTTTCTTACTTTTCAATGTTTTATTATGGTCTATTATTTTTTACTTTTCAATGTTTTATTATGGTCTATTATTTGATTTCCTAGTTTAAGACACTAATGTAGTAATGTATAAAATATGATTATGGTGTTAAGCAAGGTGCAAGAAGTTGTCAAGAATATTCATGACATAGTATGATATAAGTCGAGCTAGAATCAATACTTCTTAACGATTTTCTCTCTTTTTTCTCCTTTTTGAAGAAAGGAATTGAAAAATTCAATTGACAGGCGACGTGCTAATTGAGTAATGTTACATATCAAGAGTCTGGGAATAGTAGAGCCCACACTCCATAATTGGCTATTGTAAACGTGGAGTGTGGGCTCCACAACTACCTAAATTGTTGTCAAACATAGTCGGTGGAAGATAGCATTATTCATGAATCAACCCAAAAACTAAAAAGCTAATATTTATATGGTTCAATAATACTACTCGTTGCACCTACACGCCGTGCCTTGACACTTAACACCAATGTTTGAAAGAGTATGAAAATCTTCATTGTGTATGATTTAAGCGAATGTCACAATTAATGATCTTAAATTCACAATCTAGAGATACTTAAATAAGTTGTAAATAATCAGATAATCACTTATAGGTGTAGATTATTAAAACTCGAGATCAAATTCATAACTAAATGTTCAATACTTACTCGAGTTATATTGTTCTCCAACTTTCAAGAAAGATCATTTTCGTCCTCAATATTTCAATTTAATTGCATTGTCAGTCCACCCACCTTTTTACGTAAAAAAATTGTTGAAAAGACAACTCTAACCTTATTGTGAACTCGCACAAGACAAGAAAAGTATGAAAATCTTATTTTGTTGGAAGAAATGGCACAAGTTCCTCGAAAATCTTTGGCTAATTTAAAAAATAATGTGGAATAAATAATCTATGACAGTTGTAGACAAAAGTTACTTCGATCGTTACCAACAGATAATGTGATAAGATTTTATTGAGTCAAAATCTCACCAATCAAATAATAAAAGAAAATTCTCCCACTTTCTTTTTATCACATAATCAATCTATAAAAGAATTTGTAAATGGTGATATACAACAATTATGTTTCAAGTTACTTTACCTTTTTTTAATGTAGGTTATATAGGGGGTGTTTGTTTGGAATTTTTAGAGGAAGAATTGATTTTTGAATAGTGATATGAATCTGATGGGAAATGTGTGGTTGAAAAAGAAGAAAAAATTATTGATGTGATGGAAAATATTATTTTATTGAAAAATGTGTTGTTGAAAATGAGAATTGATTTGAGAATCAATTCTCAAATAAAAAAAAACACATGAATAGTGATATGATGGGAAATGTGTGGTTGAAAAAGAAGAAAAATTATTGATGTGGTGGAAAATATTATTTTATTGAAAAATGTGTGGTTGAAAATGAGAATTGATTTACTGTAAAATTTGAGAATCCCAAACAAACAAGCTCATAATGTCAAAATGTACCAACTCGAGTGATTCGACCAGTTAAAATAATTACAAGTGGGTTGGGCCCACGACGGGCTATCCATGGGCTAACCCACTATTTTTATTTATTTATTTTTTTTTGAGGAAATTACATATAAATAGGTATTTAAGTTTTCTAATTTAAAAATCAGGTGTGATGTTTATTTAGGGCCCATTTGATTCTCATTATTGTAGAATGAGAATGAAAAATATAGTCGTTATTGGGCCCCACCCAAGAGATAAAAATTCAAAATTGATGGCTTGATATGATGGATAACGGTTATATTTTTCATTTTTATAGATGAAAAATGAGAAACAAACGAGCCCTTAAAAAACAGGTATTAATTAAATTATTAATAATATCAGGTATATTTTCCTCTTTACAGGTTTTAGATTTTTTTCTCTCTACACATTTCTTTTTTCTCTCTACCGATTTCTCTTCTTCTTCATTACCTTTGGGTTTCATTCTTCATTGGTGTTGGCGCTCTAAACCAGCGACGATCAATCGCCGGTATATCTACTTTATTTGCCCAATGACACTCTAAAATGCGTGCTGTAGCGGTGCTTAGATTTGAGCGCCGCTACACCGGACTGTGTGTACGCTCAAATCTTAGCCGCTGCAGCAGCACTAAGTCAGACTTAAGTGGCCTTTTGTTTGGAGGTTTAATAGCCGTTGTAAGTGGTGGTAGGATTTTGAGATGACGACGCTGCAGTTGTTTAATGTGGGTATTGGGTAACGTTACTGGAGTTGTTTGATGATGTCGCTACAGCTGTTTGGTATTAGTGTTGATGTTTATGGTGGTGGTACTGGGGTTGGGGACTTTTTCATATCGATGTTGTGAGATAGCTAGACAATGGTGTGGTGATTTTGAGATTGTGATTTTTGAGATAGTAGGGTGGTGATGGGTGTGTACGTCGTAGGTGAGGTGGTAGCTTTACCTGTGTGCAATGGTGTTGACCAGTTGTTGTGAGGTAGTAGGAGTGGCTTACGCGATGGTAGTTTTCGATGGTGGTTCTGTGTGCGGCGTGGTGTTGAGGTGATCACAAATGGTGGTAGTGGTCACAAATTATTTAATTGATTGTAACCAATAAATTGATTAATTTGTGATCGATAAATAATGTGTGATATTTTATGACCAATAAATAATATATGATCTAAAATTTTAAGTTGTGATTTATAAAATTTGTCATTTGTGACTCATAAATAAATTGTGACTTATAATTTTTTTTAATTTATGGCTGTGAAATAATTCATGACCAATTAGTTTGATAATATGTGTTCAATAAATAAGTCGTGACCTATAAATATATTCCCATTACCGTTCATTCCCTTTCCCCCATTCTTTTTTTTTTTTCAGAAGTAAGGGACTCTGCTCACAGAGATCCCATGGGCTTAAACCTTAATAACTGGGCTGGGAAAACAGTCCAAGAAGGCCCTCCCAATAGTCTCTGGGCTGGCCCATCATAGCCCATTTAACACTCATGCTCAATTTTGTATTTCCGAACTAAACACACATTGCAAGCAGAGCAAACAACCCTTCATACTTCTCTCATTTTCGTCTCGAATCGTTATTTTTGTCGCTTCATTCCTCAATTGGGTAAGTAGATATTTCAATTTACTACTGTTTTTTCCGTCACTTTTTTTAATGATAAATATCTATTTTTAACAAAAGTAACATTTAACTTTAAAAAGTGACATCGTGTCACTTTCTAATAAAATGGGTGGCACATAATTTTAAACAGTATTTTTTACTTTCAAAATATTTCTCATATGATTTTTCAAAATATCTTTAATTTTAAAGGTATTTTTGTAAGTTGTCCAAATTCAATCCAATATATCTCAACCCTCACTAGTCACACATTTATCGACTTGACTGCTCACATTGCCCCACTCTTCTTTGTGATCCCTTAATGCGGCGACGTCGTCGTCGTCGTCGTCGTCGTCGCATTCCTTCCATCGATACCATCAATGGCAACGCAACAGCTCTTCTTATGCCCAAACCCTCGTGACTCCTAACAGTCCTCTCTCTTTCTCTAAAACTTACCTTCCACGGCTCCACCCAGGGGCGGACCCATTATAATTTAGGGGAACTTTCAAAAATACCCTTAAAATTAAAGGTCTTTTGAAAAATCATATGAAACATATTTTGGAAGTAAAAAATACTGTGTAAAATTAATTGTCACTTTTTTTAATACAATAAAAAAAAGTGACACTGAAAAAGTGACAAACTGTCACTTTTTAAAGTTAAGTGTCACTTTTTTATTAAAAAATGACATACAATGTCACTTTTATTAAAAAAAAAATGATGTTTGTCACTCAAAAAAGTGATAAAAATTTCAAAGAATTGACAAAAAAAAAGTAACAAACATTAAAAATGTGATCAAAATTTAATAAAAAGTGACGAACACTTAAAAAAGTGATATAAATTCAAAAAAGTGACAAATTTGCAATTTTCATGTTGGTGTAACACAATTGAGTTATTATTTGCCCGGTTGAGACATGACAGAATATCTTGTCACTTTTCTAAAGTCCAAGTTAAATATCTCCGTAACACTTCCAAAACATCCCATTTTCTTCATGAACCTCAACAGATTTATTGGTGAAAACCAGGTGCTTAACAACATGCATTGTCACTTTTCTAAAGTCCAAGTTAAACTTCTTTATAGTACTTCCAAAACGTCTCACTTTCTTCATGAACCTCAACAGATTTATCGGTGAAAATAAATATAAAAAAGTGACATAAACTAAAAAAAGAAAAGAAAAGCGACATAAACTTAAAAAAAAGGTTGTAGTATACTAATTTGTGTGAGAAACAAAAGATTTTTGAGGTTATTTTTTTTTCCCGGTGAAATACTTATTTAAAAACTTCTTTCATTTAGAACCATCTCATGCTAATTTTAAAAAAAAGTGACAAAAGCATAAAAACGTGACACGAGTTCACATTGTAATTTGACAACAGCATTGTGCTTCACAAATAACTCAACTATGATAACTGTTTCACAAAGAGCAGCATAATGCAGTGATGTTTAAAAATTCTCACTGCATCTTCAAGTTTCTGTTCCTTTAAAAAGCCTTCCACTACAGTAGTGTAGACAACAACTTTCAGAATACTGGTATAGTAATCTTCTCATGCAGTAACCCAAAAAATTTTGATAGCCTCTTGCACCAACCCATCTTTACATAAACCATCAAGTATTGCCACTGGGATCAACCCAATCAAACCCAAGCTTGAATACTGTCAGAAAATCATCCACTTCGCTCATCATCGAACTAGATTTTCCATTTTCCCAAAAACAAATGAAACTTGGGAATCTGGCATTTTGGGAAAGGTAAGATTGCCTTTTTTCCTCGATTCGACCCTCAAGAACAGATTTGTTTTTCAATTTCTGAAGTTTCAAGGTATCATAATAATCCAACACCACATGGTTGCTCAAAATACCCTTCGGACCTTCTCTCTGCTTTCTCATAAGATCTCTGAGTTCGTCATTACACACCGAAAGGATGGTGATTGTTTTCCATCTGTTGATACCAGTGGAGGAAACATTTTTGGTCAAAAGATTGTTAAAATTGCCGAATTTCAAGAATCTTTCGAGGAGCTTGGTGATGTTGAAGGCTGTGGTGGGAGATAAAGATGAAGCAGTAGAGAAATATTAGAGTTGGGAAGAAATCATCTTTTACAACATATTAATTATGTTTTAAAAGGATTTAATTAATTAAAAGAGTATAAATCAAATTGGTTAATTTTTTAGTGTACCGATCCTAATTTGCCCTTATAATTTTTTGAGGAAATTATATAAATCCAGGCTTTTAAAGATACTAGTGCAAAAATCAGTGTGTGAAGTTTTTTATTCAAACTTCAGGATTTTTTAATTAAAATTTAAATATTGTAATTATCGAAAATAATTANTTTATTTATTATATATACAAATTTCACTTTCAAACCCTAAAAATCATTTACCACTCTCATCTCCCTCTTTCTCTCTCTTCCCGTCGCCTCGCTCTCTCCTCTCTCCATCGCACGTGGTTGCCATCGACGAAGACCAGAGCGGAGGGTGCTGGCGGTGGTGCAGTAACGCTCGTACCTACTCTCATCGAACTGAAACCCATCCCAATCAACGACGACAAGCGACGGCAACAGCGCCGCCTCGAGGACCTAGCTTCTTTCTCTCTTCTCAACCTCTCTACCGACATTCGAACGCCCTTATTTGACTGCTGCAAGTGATGCAGCAGTAGCGTCGCCTCACTGCTTGAAGCGGCACAGCAATAGCGCTGCTTTAGAAACACCAGCAGAGCTCTGTTGCGACTCGAATTTGCAGCGCCTCCTATATTTTTTGGGCATTTTTCTTTTTTTAGTCATCTATTATGCGGTGGGTGTGGTGGTCGACATTGGTGATGGTGATTGTTGTGGCGGGTGCTTTGTGTGTGAGATGGTATAGGGGATGTAATCTGGTTGTGGTTGTTGCAGATCGGATTCGAAGAAGTGAATTGGTGGTTGTGGTTGTTGGTGGCAGCTGCGATCGCGGCCGTGGTGGTCGAGTGGGACGAACCATGTAGCGGCCGCGATGGTGGTGGATCTTGATGATGGCCGAGTTGTCATTTTTTGTTATTGTTGTGGCGGTTTTGTGGCCGGGTCAACGGCGATGGTCGTTAATTTTGGTGTTTGTGACCTAGCCATTGAACCGTGATTTTAAAATTGATAATTTGTAATTAGAAAAATAATATGTGACCAACAAATTTGAAAACACGTGACCTGTGACATATAAATTTTTAATCCGTGACCAATAAAATAATCTGTGACTAAAAATATAATTTGTGATCAACCATTTTTTTATCTGTGGTCGTAAAAAAAATCTGTGACCAATTAATTTGAAAATCTGTGACTGTGTGACTTATAAATTTTGATCTGTGACTAACTAATTTTGAAATCTGTGACCTATAAAATTTTTAAACTATGACCGTAAATTGTAAATCTGTGACCAGAATGGTCACCGAAATAGTCGTCGAAATTATTGTCGGAATCGGAGCAGTCGTCGGAACGGTCGCCGGAGAAGAGTGGTCGTCGGAATGATCGTCGAAATAGTCTCCGGAGCGGTATGGGTGGTGCATGTAGGATGAGTTAATTATATTATATTAGAATTAAATATTTAATAATAAATTGATTTAATAATTTATTATTTCATAAATAAAAATTAAAAAAAAATTGATTTTTAAATTGATGTAAAATATACACATTATTTATGAATTTTTCCCATTTTTTGCTTTAAAAAAAAAGCACACCCAACTACCCAAGACCAAGTCGAAAAAATGGCCCCACACATTGCAATTCTTCAACGTGAGAACTGAGAAGCGTACTCGTTCCCTTCCCTTCCCTTCCCTTCCCCCCAATTCTCAAACCCTGCGAACTCATTAGGCGACGGTGGGTGGGCTTCCAAATTCCAATAACGGATTTACCATATTTTGAAGGATGAAGAAGAAGAACGGATTGAAGATTTGAAGAAAGTTTTGTAAGTTGAATCAATTTCGAAATGAATTCGTTATCCACGCTACCTCGCTTCTTGCATACGTCTGGCATTTCAAGTTTTAATTCCTCTGATTTAAAGGCGCCCACCAGGTGTTCGGTTTTTTGCTTGATATATAATGAGATGATTTGGACTTTGGTTTCTCTCTTTTTATTTAAATCTTAGTTGTCTTTGCTGAATGCTGATGGTATATAGCTAATAAGAAATACTAGAAACTATATATTAATTTGATGCAAAGAAAAGAAAAGAAACTATAGATTAATTTAGGAACTGCGCTGGTATATCATATATGACATAAAAAACAGGAGCCTCTGCCTTTTGCGGTTACTGAATACTACGTTTTGGGCCTTTTTGCAGCTATTATTGTTCTGCTGTGTGCCTTCTCATTTCCCTTTGGTAATGAAATGTGCCCTTTGATATTCACTTCGCTTCGTGTTTTTTCTTGATTTTAGTTTTTTGGGTTCTGGATGAATCCACCTTCTCTTCAACAATTAGTCCCTGCACAGAACTCATTTTTTTAATATGTAATTCATACCACGAATTAAGGCATTTTGTAACATTTGGTATGAGATATAATAGTGGCTATTTCTTCTAGAAATGCTT